CCCCAAAACCCCAAAACCCCATTTCACCAAATCTAGATGATGAAAGTTAAATTCTCAAATCAAGATAAACTTTGGAGTAAATCACATATCTTTAATTGATTGAAGATGTTTAACTATATAATTTGAAAGATACCAAATTAAGATGGAGAAAAAGGAGCAGATCTTCAGTTCTTTACTCAAAGAAGACACAAAGCATTAAGGACTATCAAAGAAGGGTCTAATTTTAGGCTCGATTGCTCTAGTGGTCGCTGCTTATGCAGTCGTGCAATCTGTTACACCAAGCTAACCAGCATAAAACGAAAGTTTTTTGAGTTCTCAAAATCTTTTCATTAATGAGAAAGTTAACATCGTTTCATGGAAACTAGTCAATCCATTAGACAAATAAGGAGAGTTAGTATAGAATATATTTGCTGCTCCAAACGGAGATCTTTATGCTAATACTCGTCTTTCTGAAACTAAATATCCTTACACCTTCTAACTATATAAGTACGATCAAGATACAAATTCATGGGATACATCATAATCACTAGCTACAAATGTAACCAAGGTTGCATTCACATCAAATGGTCAGGCTTATTATCTTACCAACAATAAAGTTCTCTATAAAGCTAGTAATTCATCTCAATAAATCATTAATGTTGAATTCTTTGCCATATCAGAGCAAGATGTAATCTACATTAGACCTGAGTATAATTTCAATTTTCCAAGCTAAAACTATGGAAAAATCCTTAAATACGATTTAGGAAATGTTTATTTAGTTAAAGTTGATAACTTCTTTACTAAACAAATGGTAATTCTGAATGGTGAGCCATTCTTAATAGATAATCGCTACAATCTTAGCAGCAATTATGATAGCGTGAAAGCCGATTATCTCAGCGTTGCCTATGATGGTACTCTCTGGGGAATTATTGAAGCATAACTAGGGTAAAATTACTTTTCCCAAAAGCTAGCTTACTTCAATAAGTAAGACAAGAAATGGTATTCTGTTAGTAGAATCTCAGCACACTCAGTTGCTGCCCTAAATAGATTCTAAGTTGCTTATATCGAATTTAGTTAGGAAAAAAATATTTACATATCAGAACAAGCCACTGTTCAACCAGAATACGCCTATGTTGAAAACTAAGAAACTAGTTACTCAGTGAATGTCAACGATTGGAATGTTGATAATGATGAGCCAACTGGAAATGATGGAAGTAACAACAATACAGGAGGTAGTGTAGATTCTGGTCCTTAAGTGAAATCGTCAAAAGTAGTACTTAATGACACCACTCTTCTTGATTCAGCAGGTAGAAAATACGTTCTCTTAACCAGCGAGACAGAGTACAGATACTATTAATCATCTAAACTTTGCTTTAAGGCAACAAGAGATGGATTTTCCTCAAATAAATTCCATGAAAACTGCGATAAGAGATCATCTTACTCGATCACTTTAGTTAAGAGCACTGATGGAAAAGTCTTTGGAGGTTACTCTACCAAGCCATGGAGAGCTGATGGACATTATAGTTCATCTTACGATAGTTTAGTATTCTCAGTAGATAAAGCAGAATCCTTTGAAATCAAGAGTTAAGCCGATCATTATGCAGTCTATGATCACATTGAGTTCGGACCATCATTTGGAACTAGAGATCTTGTTATTGACTTCAATCTTAATAAGTAAACCACTCTCCTTGGTAATTCATTTGAGGGAAGCTACGACGGAGATACCTGGGAAGAAAGAGCTGGATTCCTAGCTGGAAATACTACTTATGAAATAAATGATGTAGAGGTTCATCTCCTTTCATATAGTGAGAACGATTTATTCCCTTAAGAAGAATTTTATTGAGTTGATTTCCTTGAGAATCCTCAGCCTTGAAAATACTAATATTCTAGGCAAATTAGAGCTATCATACCGCTCTTCCCATAAAATTTAAGCAAAAATTATTACATTTAACTTAAGAGTTTATCTCAGTTTTAAATTTTACTATCTTAAATGCTTAACGCATTGGGGTTTTGGGGTTTTGGGGAGATCGGAAGAGCGTCG